CACGAAAAGAGGAAATGAAATAGATTGTGAAACGCATATGTGTATTATAAAAAGTTAAGATGTAAGAAGGACATGTAGGGAAGCTAAATGTGAAACTGGCTGTCTGTGTTTCATCCCTAAGCTGCAAACACAGACAGTATACGGTGTGGATTGGGGTGGGAATCGTCAGTGCAGCCCCCAATCGTTTCCATTCCATGAGGTTTTTTTAATAAATACGTTGGTGAAACTAGCAAATACAGTTGAAATGGTTGGGAATGGTACTGCTCACAAGCCTTGCTGCTAATCTCTAACTGTTGGGGAATTGAAAGAGAAAGTGATCGAAATTTCAGGAATCGATGGACGAGGACGACGATGGTGATGATGACAGTTCGACTGAGTGGAATTTGCGTTTGTTTTAAAATACATTTTTTCCGCTCACTTTATTGCTGAGATGAATCGTTCCTGGATTTTTGCGCTTTCGTTTGGTGATGAATTGTACTAGTTGCTTGGCGGCAGTGAATCTGGAGGATCATTAGTAGATGGCCTGACAGTTTTGCAAGCGGCCTATGAAATTCGGCAAGTTTAGCACAGACACGAGCAACCTTTGGTGACACAAGACATGGGCCTGATTTACATAGTTGAGCTCACGGGCCACGTTTTTAATAAAACCCAGGTAGCAACACACCAGGCTTGCCCATACGACCGCTCGTTTTTCCTCTAAGCTTGGCGCAATCAGATCGTTAACAGTATGAATGGTTGTTGCTCTACAGTTTCATACGTGTGACCCATGTGTCTGTGTTTTGGTCTTTTCTTGCATGGAGGGAAAAGGACGTCGGCTGGGACAGTAGTGTTGCATCATGGCTGCCTTCAGTGCTGTGTTAAAAATAGGTGACAAAGTTCACTCGCTTCTGAAAACACACACATATACATGCGCAAATTATGCGTTGCATCTGCATAAGGTTCAAAAATGCATAAAAACAGATAAATTTTTATCAAGTTTTTCATTCATTAAAAAAATAAGCAACAGCAGGTTGATATGTGCTCTGGGCTTGAACTTCTGATGTAAGATTATTGAAATCTGATTTTATATCACTGACACAAAGTCTCAAAGTATTTTCCAGATTGTCATCTGTTAGTCTTTTGCGTATTTTATTTTCACGCGAAGGCAGAGGCGTGGCGGGATAAAAAAAACCCCGTTCGTCCAGTTAGGCATAACATTCCGATCCTTTCTGTGGGCCGGATTAAAACGGTTCGCCGGTTGCCCACCCGTGATTTAGCATTTCTTTTCGGAAAGACTGAGAAAATAGTAGCATTACTAGAAACTGAGAACCAGATGATGCTGTTTCGGCCAAAGCAGCCATGGAAAACTCGTCAAACTCATCAGAAGTATGCTGCGCGACATAAGAGAAGCTAATCGAAGAAGCGTCCAAGCTTCACAGTAATTTGGGGTGCTCTGTTACCCCTCTTTTGAAGAATGTATGGAGAAAAGGTGGAAATTTCTTAAGTTGAATACTTTGCTTGAAAAGTTTATGAAGCTGTGAAGCTGTTTTAACTGTTACGGATTATTAGCAAGTTTTGCAGGGAAATGTAGTGCGGCATCGTTGGATGTGCTTTCCAGTATATTCAATAACGACTTCTTACCAACATTACTGCCAATACTCAAGGAGACTCTTTTTCACAGTAATTGGCTGGTAGGCGATTTTTCTTTATCGAATTTTCCAGTGATTACGATTCATGATTATTCGCTAGTCCTCCGGGGGAAGGGGGGGGTTCTTTTTTAGTGCGACACTGTTATTTGAAAATTAGTTTTTAGTTAATAATTGAATAAATTAATTTTTAGGTGAAAGAAAGCGGAATCCTAGCTTTAGGTGCTGTTGCTGAAGGTTGCATGGCCGGCATTACTCCACATTTACCAGAACTTATACCATTCTTGATTGCATCACTGCAGGATCGAAAGGTATATTTCTGTGATAATTCGTAATACATTTGCTGTGTTTGCTCATTATTTGAATTGTTTTTAGGCACTTGTGAGGTCAATAACGTGCTGGACCTTGTCTCGGTATTGCCATTTTGTTGTTCAGCAGGACCACAACCTGTATTTCAAACAGCTTCTGAAAGAGGTTCCTTGCAACTTTTTCAGTCTTATAACGTCTTTTATGCGTTTTTATAGGAATACCATGTCATCCAGATGTCCTAATTTTTTTGCATATTGATTTAACTTCCGATAAAAAAACATAGCGAACTAATAGCGTTCCTCTTGTGCTAAAATTCATGCGTTCCACACCGACAATAGGGCAACCAATCTGTCTCTGACAGCTTTACCCGCGTGTGTTTGCTGTTGGCATGTGCTACTGTTTTGGCTTTCCGACTCCCTCCGCTTTAGGGGAGAGTGCCGTGATGCTTAAGAGTGTGTATATGGAATCGTTTGATAAACAAGCAAGCAGATAAACAACGAAAAGAGTTGAACAAACAGCCTTAGGGTGAATGAACATAGGAGAAGTTTTGACATTTAATTTGAATTGTCAGTGATCCGCGCTGCGATTCAGTCAAATTGAATAATTGTACAGACTTTTATACTAACTTCCAATTACGTCGTGGTACTTGTGGAGTCGATGCGCATCACGTTTGGGCACCAGTGAGTCTTTACCACTGTGCAGAAGGAAGGTTAAAGTTAATGACTTTTTTAACTCTTCTTCACTGTCCTCCATCCACTTTCACATGGCAGTCCACTGAAGCTTTGTTTCGTGCTCTAATTTGTGCAGTTTAAATCAGTTGCTTAAAAAAGATTTTGTTTTTAAAATTTTGTTTTAAAGAGCCGAGGCCGTTCATCGTTTCATACATACACTTGCAGTCAGCAGTGTTTTATAGGTAATATTATCCATAAGGGAGAGGCGAGGTAGGAGGGAGGGG